AAAAAAAAAAAAAAAAAAAAGGCAAACTACAGTAGGGATCGGATGACATGGCAAACTTGAAGGGCCAACCAATTTTGTTCATGCATTGCCAATCCAACTGCTACAGTTTGCTCATTGACAAACCCACACGATTGGAAAACCAGGAGATCCTCTTCCACAAGCTGTGAGTAGACGTACGTTGGAGGAGGAGATGATTAGGAGGGAGGGAGGGGATCCAGCAGGGCAAGTTAGTGGTTGAGGCGATCCATGGTGGAAGGGCAATTCCTGAAGGTCCCAGCTTGGTTGTTGGGTGTAGGGGTGCCGGTATGAGACAGGTGGAGGAGTCAAGCAGGCGGCCACGGACTTTGGGAAACAGCGCCAGGCCGGGGACATTGGGAGGTGGCACCGGGTCTACAGAGCCAGGTCCAACGAATGTGCCATGCAGCCGACATGGAAGATCCAGGGGTAGGCAGCCTCCACCATCTTCCCGGCCTTCACACACACACTCTCATTGTCCATGACAAAACCCACCATGGACTTTGGTCCAGTCTCCTTAATGACAACGTCCAGAATCCTGAAGTATGCTGAGGCGTACTTGTCCAACCCCTCAACACAGACAGACTTGCACAAAATGGTGGCGATCGGAGAGGACACCATCACATTCAAGTACGGTCTGTTCCTCCGATCACTCCAGCCGTCCAGTAGGATCATACGCCCTGTGACCTGCCGGTTTTTCGTCACACCGTTCACATTCCAAATCGCACCCGTGCACGTGCTGGTCATCCAGTCTTTTGGCTCTTGCATCGCCGGGCAAGCAGTAATGCAAGCAGGATGCACACTCTTCATGACGTCAGCCATCTCCAAGAGGAATTCATTATCCACCATATCCACCATATCGGAGGGCTGATTCATGCATGCCATCCATTGCTCGAGCTTACGGGTGGTAAGCTAGTTCCTGGTCACAACTTTGCCAGGCTTGTCCAACAGCGTCTGTTGAGATGGGCACACCATGGATGAGCAAGGTCATAGAGTTCGGGCTGTCTAGCGCAACATTGGGGCGACGGTACTATTGAAGTGGCCAGCGGTGACTATGATACGAAGTTCACTTTGCAACGTTGTATGGTGAATCCTGTGTGGAAGGAGAAGTTTGTGATGCCTGACCAAATGACGACCTTCTTGGACGTTAGTTCCATCATTTTGGACAATTCCGACTGCTGGAGCTATAAGGACAAGGCTGTGGCGGTTATGGGGCTGATGGTGGCGCAATGATCACATCAAGGTGTACTTCCACATGGGCAGCCTCACTTGCCTGACAGAGGACGAGCGAGCGGAGGTGGAGAGTATATTATTGGATCATTAGGTGTTAATGACATCACCTCTCCATTGCACGACCGCTTTCCTAAACCCCAAGTATAAAACATGGGGTGCGCAGCAGGATAAGGAGATTTCAGACAACTTCAACATTTCGTTGTACTCATGGGCGACAACAGAAATGTTGGGACCCACTTAGCCTTTTTTTTTTTTTTTTTTTTTAGAGAACAAGCTCCATTCTATTGGTGGGGAGTCGGAAAAGTTGATAAGGACAACGAATGTGATGGTGGTGGGAGGCTTTCGGGGGATCGTTGGACCTTCTTCAACCCGCAGCAATCAAACTTCTTTGGCAAGTGAGCTCCTCCGCTCCGTGTAAGCACAATCGGAGCTTGCACGAGCTCATCATGGGCAGGAGGTGGACGAGCATCTTGCCACCGAGGTTCATGAAGCTCGTGTACACTAGTTGGAATATCCACCTGTTTCAGAGGAACCAGCAGGAAGGCATAGAGGATGACCACATCCCGCAGAAGAACAATGAGCCGGTGAAAGAGCAGGTGGAGGAGTGGTACAAAACCTTTGCGGAGCAGATGGAAGCCGTCCCAGTTGACTTGCCCGTGGACTTCAGCGGCGACCAAGTGATGAGGAACAGCCCATGATGAGATGGTGGCTGCATAATAACGAAGAGGACGACATGACCGACCAAGAGGATGAGATAATGTTTCTTGATAAGATTGCGCACAAGTGGCATGTTTGCATGAAGCCAGTGAAACATTTTGAGAGGGAGGTGCGCCGGTCATCGGGTCTTGTTGAACCCAATCCACCGAAGGTGTTCACGGAGGAAGCCCGGCTTCTCGTGCTCAAGGCACGCCAAACGGAAGATTGTGTGCAAGGGGAGGAGGGCACTTCTGGAGGCAATGACTGCAAAAGTTAAGACCGCAAAATAATAGCCGCGCTGATTCGGCACATTTTCCAATTTTGCCACTCAGTCATCTGTGATTCTGTGGGCCAACAGAAAAAGTACTCCAACTTCAGTGAATTTTCGCGCTCAAAAGAATGCGTGAAAAAATCTGAAAAAAAATCATTCCAACTTCAAAATACATCGCGGCCGCCGGCCACAATTTGACCTATATTCCAATTTTGTCATTCAGACTCTCTCTCTCTCTCTCTCTCTCTCTCTCTCTCTCTCTCTCTCNACCCACTTTTTTTTTTTTTTTTTTTTTTTTTTTAGAGAACAAGCTCCATTCTATTGGTGGGGAGTCGGAAAAGTTGATAAGGACAACGAATGTGATGGTGGTGGGAGGCTTTCGGGGGATCGTTGGACCTTCTTCAACCCGCAGCAATCAAACTTCTTTGGCAAGTGAGCTCCTCCGCTCCGTGTAAGCACAATCGGAGCTTGCACGAGCTCATCATGGGCAGGAGGTGGACGAGCATCTTGCCACCGAGGTTCATGAAGCTCGTGTACACTAGTTGGAATATCCACCTGTTTCAGAGGAACCAGCAGGAAGGCATAGAGGATGACCACATCCCGCAGAAGAACAATGAGCCGGTGAAAGAGCAGGTGGAGGAGTGGTACAAAACCTTTGCGGAGCAGATGGAAGCCGTCCCAGTTGACTTGCCCGTGGACTTCAGCGGCGACCAAGTGATGAGGAACAGCCCATGATGAGATGGTGGCTGCATAATAACGAAGAGGACGACATGACCGACCAAGAGGATGAGATAATGTTTCTTGATAAGATTGCGCACAAGTGGCATGTTTGCATGAAGCCAGTGAAACATTTTGAGAGGGAGGTGCGCCGGTCATCGGGTCTTGTTGAACCCAATCCACCGAAGGTGTTCACGGAGGAAGCCCGGCTTCTCGTGCTCAAGGCACGCCAAACGGAAGATTGTGTGCAAGGGGAGGAGGGCACTTCTGGAGGCAATGACTGCAAAAGTTAAGACCGCAAAATAATAGCCGCGCTGATTCGGCACATTTTCCAATTTTGCCACTCAGTCATCTGTGATTCTGTGGGCCAACAGAAAAAGTACTCCAACTTCAGTGAATTTTCGCGCTCAAAAGAATGCGTGAAAAAATCTGAAAAAAAATCATTCCAACTTCAAAATACATCGCGGCCGCCGGCCACAATTTGACCTATATTCCAATTTTGTCATTCAGACTCTCTCTCTCTCTCTCTCTCTCTCTCTCTCTCTCTCTCTCTCTCTCTCTCTCTCTCTCTCTCTCTCTCTCTTACATCAACCCTTAGGGCTGCATTCCCCGCCCTCACGCAGTAGACAATACTTCACCGCACCCCAACACGGATTTCTCTGCAACCCTGTACCCAACCACACTCATCTCAGTCACTATGTAGTACAATTTCTACGACAGTTAGTGTGTGATGCCTTTGTGAGCAAGCATGTCCAATGAAAGAATCACACACACAACCTCTGGCTTTTTGGACAACCACCTAACCACCAAGGGCTAAGAGGGTTGGGGTGAAAGTGACCGCCTGTGGCCAAGCCCATTGGTGACTGTCAGATGTTCAAGATCTGGCAGCTTAAAAATTCCACTGTTCCAAGACTGTGGGTCCCTTTTTGGGCGACTTTGGGTCCCTTCTTGGGCCTCCTGTCACGCGGCAAGACCGGTCCTATGCGTTTCGGAGGTACCGGTAGGGCAACCGAATAGCTGTCTGTCGTCTGCAAAAATGAAAAGGAGCGGTCACCACATCGCTTCCACCCCGGTTGTACCCCATTTAGAGTGGTCGCCCGCCACAAAAATTCACGCCACCTTGAGACCGACACAGCAACCCACTATACCGCAGCCCTAGGGCTGCGAACAACACTCTCCGAGTTTTCACTATGAGTCCAAACACATTCCACAAGCAGAAAAGGCGGCACATAATTTGTTTGGCCTAGGATAGGACTCGTGAGAACGTATCATGCGTCTCGTATTCTCGACAAATGATCCACCCTTTCAAAACTGGTTTTTAGGGTCCAAGTGAAACGGATGACCGGTCCTTCAATTTACGAAGGTACCGGTTATATAAGCGATAGCTGTGGGTCCTCCACAAAAATGCGAAAGACCAGTCCCCCGACAAATTCAACCCCCAAACAATTTCCTTATCCTCTGGTCGCCCGGCACAAAACATGCGCCACCTTGATACAGATGAGCGGACCCACTATACCGCAGCCCTTAGGGCTGTGAACTGAGCTCCCAAATCTGCATGTTTGCAGCCCGTAGGGGATGTGGTCGCAACCTGTTTGCAGGGCTCTCTCTCTCTCTCTCTCTCTCTCTCTCTCTCTCTCTCT